CTCAATTTCCTTGTCTGTAAACTGAGGGGTTGGTACCGAGTGTGTCTAAGGCCTTTACTAGATTTAAAACGTAAGGATTTCCTCATTCTAATGCAGAGAACATTCTTGCTCATTTAACCTGCAGGTGTTTTGATAAAGAAGCAAAATCATTTTTGTGATTGAAGTGCAGGGGTGGGCACCTTAGCAGTAAAGTTATTCTCCTTGTAACATAACCTTCTGACAGACTGACAGTGACTTTTGCTGAGAGAGTCTGCTGGTGATGTCTATTTACCTTGTAGATTCCTGAACCTGCATTTATTGTTGAGAAAGAAGCCTCTCTGACTTCCTTCCTCATGCCCCCTTCTGCAGATGAAGGAGGCATTCACTTGCCAGCTGCAGTGTTCTGCCTTATAATCAGTCAGTGTCTCTTGTCTGGACTGTGACATGCTTCCACAGTCCATGGAACTGAGGAATTTTGTGATGTGTTAATGCTTCCGTTTGGGCTTCACTGGACTGAATTAGGTCACTGAAAGTGGTTGAATTAGGAGGAAAATACATTAATTTGATCATTTAATCTTATAAAAAAGGAAATAAGAAAGCTTTTCTTTCTTTCAAACATACAGGAATATCTTATTAGGTTTCATTACAATGCTCATGAAACTTTTATAGACATTGAAATTTAAGTCTTAAAATCTTTTTTTTTAATACTATCATTGTTTTCACAATTATTTGGACTAAATAATTGTTACATTTACCTGATATTTATCTTAAAAAATGTGAAAACCACAGCCAAATTGTCCACTAAAAGTTTGAACTGTTTTCATCATGAGTGAACATATTTATATCTTGCCATATTGAGTATTATTTATCTTTGAAATTCTGGCATTCTAATAGTGTCTTGTTTTAAAGGTACTCTTGGTAATAAAGTTAGTGATTTTTTTCATATACTTTTTACCCACCTTTACTTATTTGGTTTAAATTGCTTTTGTTTATAACTTGTGTCTATTTCTCTATTGGGCTATTACAATAAATGCACTTTTTCTGTGCATTTAAGTATCTACAACTATCCTGAATACTAAAGATATATCATAAAAAGTGTCCTCATGGAGCTTACAGTCTAGGAAGAAGAGGAAAATATAAAAAACAAATCAGTGATATTACAGTATTGTACTACATAATAAAATTTTGATTCAACAACAGACTACATATATGATGTTGGGCCCATAAGATTATAATGTCATATTTTTACTATACCTTTTCTATATTTAGATATGTTTAGATACACAAATACAATTGTGTTACAGTTGCCTATAGTATTTAGTATGGTAACATGCTGTACATGTTTATAGCCTAGGAGCAATAAGCTATACCATAGATCCTAGATGTATAGTAGGCTGTACCATCTAAGTTTGTGCAAGTACACTGTATGATGTTTGTACAATAACAAATTCACCCTATAACATATTTCTCAAATGTATCCTTGTCATTAAACAACACATGAATATACTGATGTAAAAACAGAGGGCATGCTCAGGATTTACCGGGAGTCTATTTTAAGGTAACTGATCAGAAGCAGCTTTTCAGAGAAGGTGATATCTTTGTTGAGATATGATCGAAAAGAACATCGGGTAGCAGAGGATCTTTTACGGTGATGGAAACACAGAGGCATGGATGAGTTTGGGAAGAGAAAGATGGCCATGGGGCTAGAGAAGGTGAGGGAATGGAATTGGGAAGAGATGGGGCCAGAAAATTGGATTCAGTTAATATGCAGCTAGGGAGTTCAGGGAAGGAGTTTTATTAATAGTTTCATTTCAAGATTGGAATGCAATCCATTGGGAAACAATTGGAGTTTTCCATAAAAGGGTGACCTAATCTTATTTATGCCTTAACAGATGACTTTGGTTGCTAAATGTGTAACGAATCATTGGGAACCACAGTGGGAACAGGGATAGAATCAGGAAGCAAGGGCAGCTGTCTAGAAAAGAGCTGATAGTTACTTGTTATAGAAGAAGCTGTTGGTGGCCTATCTAGATTCCCTTTACCTGCTGGGTGCACCAGCTGCTGGGTGCACCTTTTCTACTATGAGAGAAGGCTTCTACCAGTCCCAGTTGTCTCCTTCCTGAGCAGCTATGCCTCCTCTCTCCTCTTGTAGATCTTAGCCAATGACTGACTGATGGGGAGGCTTCCTTGTGTGAAGGTGGGGTTAATGCTATGATATCAGGTGCATTTGCACTTCCTTGTGGGAGCAGCCTGAAGCTGATCTTTAGCTGAGATGACATTTCTGCTTAGCTCTGTCCTCTTGTCCTTCCCTGCTTCCCTTGCTCCTCTTTTCTTCAATAAGTTACTTGAATAAGGATCTTCATCTCAGGCTCTGTTTATAGGGAATCTGGCCTAACCCATAGTTTAGGGTGGCAGAGGTTGAAACAGAGGAGAGGGAATGGATTAGAAATGCTCCAGGAATAATGTCTACCAGAATGAGTCTGGAATATGAGGAAAAGACAGAAATCAAAACAGTTCCTAAATCTTGTTATTGAGCAACTTGGTGGGTAAAGGCATTATTTACTAACAGGAGATGTCTGGAAGGAGAAGATGTTCAAGGTTGAGAAGGGAAAATTTCTATTTTGGTTTTTAGATTTGTAAGTTTGAAATGACTATAAACAAATATAACAGGCAGGAAATTGGATAAACTAGTCTTTTGCTCCAAGGGGCAGTTCAGTCTAAGATCATATTTGGAATTTAAGTGTGGTATTCAAATGGTATTTAAACGCATGCAACTAAATGGGGGTACATAGGACAAGAGTATAGATGAAGAAGAGAAAGTTTCCTAGGACACAGAATCCTAGCATGACAACATTCATGGAAGCAGAGAAGGAAAATCCAGCAACTATACTGAGGAGGGGTCAGTGAATGGTAAGGAAACGAGGAGAAGGTTGTGTCACAGAAACCAAGCAAATAAAATGTTTCAAGGAGGGTATGACTAACCGTTGAATGCAGCTTGGTGGGGGATGAAGATGAAGACAGATAACAGATCATGAGATGTGACAGGAGGGAGATTACCAGTGACCTTGACAATAGAAGATTTTTATAGGAGGTGAAGGGTTTGCATGTGGCCCAGCTCATCAAGACGTACACATTAAATGTGTACAATGTTTTATACATCAATTGCACTTCAACTAAAAAAAAAAACTAAAAAAAAAAAGGAAATGTGAGATGAAGAAACAAATATATTGACTGAGGCAACTATTATTGCTGTGAACTGGATTAGCAAATGAGATAGGACCTTAAGTGAGGCAATGAGTCCAGGGATGTTTTTCTTTTTGATTGATTATGCAAGAGAAAGGGATTAACTGCAGGAGAAAATCCTTGAATAGATGAAGGTAGTGGGATCTAGTGCCTGTGAGCAGGGACTGGCTCTATCCTGAAGCAGACACATTTCAAATTTGTAACTGGACTAGAAAAATGCCAGAGAATATAAACGCCAATGAAGAAATGTTTGTAGATATTGTAGTGGGTAGCTGAATTAGTTTTTGTCTAATTGTTTCTGTGTTCTTATTAAAATAGGAGATGAGGACCCCAGCTGAGATGTGGGGTGGAGTGGGGCCAGTAGTTTGGAGATTTGAAGAGAGAAGAGTAAGGATGAAATAATCTAATCTTAGAGACTAAGAAAATTTATTTACAGGGATTATATAGTATAATTTCCTTTTACAATTGAGTATCCCTTTTGATATGTGTGCTCATGGATTTTAAATAAAACCAGTCAGCAAAGTGGTGAGTTTTTTTTCCAGCCACATTTAAATGCCCAGGTGTACACATGGAATAGGTGGATGGTTGAGTTTAACTAGCACTAGGGTTTTGTTAGGAAAACAAAAGGGAGTTAAGGCATTTGCAAGGGAGTGATTATGAGAGTAGAACATGAAATCTAAGCTGGGCTAAGGGGGCAATGAGAGGGAAGATGGAGAAAACTAGCAAGGTTAATGGGGTTGAAGTTTTTTATGAGGTTGAAGAAATATTGCAGTAGGGGCAGTAGAATATATGAGCTTGAAAGATAATAGGAGGAAACAGAGTCTGAGATGTTTGACAACTGCATTCAGAGATATCATAGACATCAGTGATAACAAGGTCAAAAGTGTGACCATGGATGTGTGTGTGTGTCGCAGGAAATATCAATGGAGGGGGGAGGTTGAGGAACTGCAAGAACATAGTATTGGCTGCATCACCCACATGGGCAGTAAAATCCCCAAACTTGGGGAGAGGAGTAGGGAGCTAGAGGCTCCTAAGATAGGGGCTAAAGTCGTCAGGGAACTAGAGAGATGGGGAATTGGCAAAATGTGATGTTTCTTTTATTTCATTGATTTTTATGAGTTTTCAGTTTTTTAAGTGTAGTTTATCATAAGAATAATATACAATATTTGGTTTGTATACAATATACAAACCAAAATATAAGGCACAAATCTCCCATAATCCCATCGCTTAGTCAGAGGATGGTGGATTTTGACTAAGCCCTCCAGCTGTGTCTGGTCTACTGATCTCCCGCCTGGTCAGGTGTTCCTTTGTTTTGCCTACTCACTCTTCATGGAAATGTTGCAGGGCTTTGTATCACCCCGAGTGGCTGCCTCTTATCCTGGCAGCCAGCTGAAGTGAGTCTGCAAAGAAACAGGCCTTCCCCTTGTGCTGGTATGATCTCCCCAGCCCAATGTGTCGATCTCTCCTGCATGGTTAAATTCTGGGACAACCGCTATTAATCATGCTTGTACAATAGACCAGCAATCCTTCTTTTCACAAAACTTGTTTCATCGTGAATGCCCTAGCTTAGGTAATTTCTCATTATTTCCAGAGTTGATTAGTTACATTTGATTACTCTCTTTAATCCAGCCAGATCTTCTTTCAGTCCTAGTTATATTTACAAATTATTTGGCAAATCTATTCTCTCCATTCCCTGTGACTAACAAGTCCTTATTCCAGTTTGTAAGTGGCATTGCTGCTATGGTTGTCTTGAACATCTGCTGATTGTTTCTGGACAGGGAATTATGGGGAGAGTGGAATGGACGCTTTCAAAGAGTTGGCTGCCCAGGAAGGCCTCTGCATTGCCCATTCTGACAAAATCTACAGCAACGCTGGGGAGAAGAGCTTTGACCGACTCCTGCGCAAGCTCCGAGAGCGGCTTCCCAAGGCCAGAGTGGTGGTCTGCTTCTGCGAAGGCATGACTGTCCGAGGACTCCTGAGTGCCATGCGGCGCCTTGGTGTTGTGGGCGAGTTCTCCCTTATTGGAAGGTAAGTGTCTCTCTCTCTCTCGCGTTCTCACTCTCGTTCATTCTCTCTACATACACATGCAATTATACCAATACACATACACACTGTTGAACACACATATGCTTCCTTTCACAAAACTGGACTCTGTCTTCAAGTGGGCACTTGCGGTGCTGAGTGAATTAGTTCTGGATGTAGTTGCTGGTGGGCATACTGGCACCC